CTCATGCAAATTGCAGCTCGTTCACTGAGCACCTAAGTCACTACCAATCCCCGAGTAACTTGAGATACAGAGGGAGGTGAGCTAGCAAGAGATTCAAACAAAAATTCACTTTATCTTCATACAGCCTATATAAATAAAGCAGAAAAGAGAAATTTTAACAATTTCGTGAGTTATATGGAATTAGAACTAACACTCATATGTTACTGGAAGGAAGAAAGAATGAAAATGAAATTTTTATTTGTGTAACTGGTGATAGTAGAAGATATAAAAGGATAAACATGAAACGGCAAACGGAGGAACGGACTCCATACTAAATGTCCATGTAATTTTGAATTCTTATTCGAATATTACAATAATAATAATGATAATAAAAATCTGAAATGAGATATTAGACTTAGAGTAAAGAAATTAGACGTCCAGGATTCTGAGGACAGTTCCGTATTTCAGTGTAGTGTCCTTCTTCAGAATATGTTCTGATATTGTCTTGCACTCTGTAAATATTCCTGGAATTTGAAAATGTAGTTGACATGAATTTTGTCAGTGTCACGTCAAACAATCATGAAAATGTATATTTGAGATCAGAAATACAGGATCAAATTTAACAGGAATAACAGGAAAATACAGGATCACACTTTCTAGATTTACATCTCTGGAAACTCATGAGGTTCACAAAATGTCGTTTTGTGAAAGAATTTTAGAACTGCTATTCCAGCTACAGAAGATAGGCAGTGAAATTAAATCATACGAAGAACTTTCAATTGATCCCTTTTGGAAACATTACTAAATGTTAATACACGCGGTGGAAAACTTTCGAAAGAAAATATTTTAACGAAGAATAAGTATCAATTAAAAAATTATTCAATGAAATAGTACATTTAGAAAGACATAAAAAGTCCAAAATCAATAATCATCAATCAATAAAATATAAATTGATTTAATTAAATATAATAATATCTCAATCTCAGAAATCGCGCATCATCCATCAAGTATTTTCCATCGAGTCTCAGCACACACTCAATGACGCTCTCAGCGCCCTCTAGCGTTAGGCGGGTCTTACCAGTTTCGATGGAAATGTATACTGCGCAGCCTATATGAATGGCGTCGTTAATATAACTGTAAAGTACTTCCCAATTTCACGAATTAAATATTCGCGATAGAAGAATAAGAACTAAGCTTTCCGAAACATCGGTTACAGGTCAAAATGAATTTGTTTCTTAAAGAACATTTTTTTCGCATGTTATCACTTATTTAAACATTTTTATTGCTCTCTTCCTCATCATCAGCAAACACTGGCAGTTAGAATAAAGCACACAAATTCAAAAACATTGCTCCATATTGAAGACAGATTAGAAAGATATAGAAACAAGAATACACAGAATAAACTAACGGGGCAATAAAATACAGAAGCTTCATTTAAAATGCTTATACGTTGTTCCGATAAAAAATATTTCTCTCAGTTCAATAAAAAGTAAGTTACAGTACATAATTTTCAAGAAACACTATAGAAAATTCTATCAGCAGAATTCTAGTCAGACGTTGTTAATACCGTTACATTTATTTTTATTTAAAAGATTTCACTCTTAATATAGAGACGTTGTTAAATGCCGTGCGCTATTTCTATTCTTATATATACTTCATTCTAATCACATATTTCTCTTCATCTAAAATAATCTGTAACTGTTCAGAATGTTGAAACAGATAGCAGCAGATTTTAAATACTGATCCTAAACACGTACTTCCAAAAACGAAGTTTCTTAAAAGCACAAAATGTAATGAGAACAGTTTCAAAACTGAACCTGTAAAAGATCTGTTAAAATAAAATATTTACTTTTTATATGGCACTCAAAGAATAAAACCTCCAGAGACAAGAATTTTTATAAATTTTCATGCATTCAAAATAAATAATAATCCATACTTGCAGAATTTACAGACATATACGAAGTAAAATCTTTTAAGGGGCCAGCTACACATTTAAAATAGGCAGTGGTGTGTTACACAGTACCAAATTATTCGCCAACACGGGAAACTTCTATTTTCCAACTCTTCTCTGAAAATCTTTTTTATCTTCAATTTCAGCAGTAACAGACAAAGACAAATTGATCAGTCTATTCTGCGCGAACTGCTGACGTCAAGATTTTTATTCTAAAATATTGAAACAACACTGGAATTTTTACAATGTAAAGAGATAAGATTTTGAATTTATACAGGAACTTATTTACAACCGCTAATAGCCCTCGTATATAAATCCTATAATTATAAAAAAAGTGATTATATAAAAATTGAATTTTACTTTACAGAATCCTCCTCCTCGTGTTTTGAACAATTTTCAAAATATGCTTTGTTTTATCTCGATAAACGTGTAATTAGGAGTAAATGTAATCGATACAAAATGAGCCAGAAATATGAGACACGCGTTTGATGGACCCAGTATTTAATATAAAAGGCCTTAGTCATTTTATAGGGTTTCATTTATTTTAACTAATAGTTATTTTATTTTGTGAGCATTTCCTGATTTCGCTTATTCCCCTCGTGTTTCCTCGCCAGGATGTAAATGAGTTAGGGTGAACGAGAATATTTAAACTGTTGGAGTTAAAAGGTTAGACAGAGCATGATTTTGCTATTATGAACGCACGTTGCTAGTTTTCTACCAACTGTTAACCTTAGGTTTCTGAGTCAACCTGTTAGCTTAAATTTAATTGTGTAAACTCGCACTACTCTTTATCTTTAAATTTTGTGTTACGTTATTTTTTTTGAGTTCTTCCCGCAAGAGGTTTGTAAGCACGTAAAATCCTGCCATCTGTTAAATATTTTGAGTTCAATAAAAGGGGCTTTTACACGTTTTCCCTGGTTGTTTTCATCTTCAAGCCTGTGCGAGAATTCGCAAGGATCAACTTAGGTGAATCTAGTTACATTTTATAATAGCTAAGTCAACTAGGTCTTACAACTTTTTCCGAACTATCAGTGCTTAATACTTAATTTCTACTTCTCAGAATGATATTCTGCGAATAAGCTAAGGCTGATATTTGAAAAGCAAAATTAATAAGCATGAATTGAAAAAGAAAAAAAAAAAAAAAAAAAGAAGGCAACTAAAGATACACCAATCAGAAGTTGAAGTTAAGCTTTTATTACCATTTAAGAAAATGTAGCAATTATATTTATTGTGATTTATCGGATAATGTTCTCGATAGTCCATTTTGTGCTAGAAAGACTCGACGAAAATACCTCTTTGCAGAGTGGTATTAAATTAGACTATTTATTCCTTTACAGTAATAATTTGCTTATACATCTGTTAATACAGAAACACATTTAATAAAATTACATAGGCAGAAAATCAATATTTTTCAACTGACCGTTAAGGGAAAAATATGAGACAATAAGCCAGAAAATCAATAACAATCGGCGTAATGCACTTAGGAATTCAACAATAAAAATAGTGTTTATTGAACACTGCTTGTTTAAGATACGCAGAAAAGAATATTAGAATATTTAATATAGATATTTTATACCGTAACTAATTGAAGAAAAAAGTTCGAAACATCATTCTTTTAAAGTCTAATAAAAATGGGGAGAGGGCTTGAGTATAATATCAATTGTTTGCAATAAAATTCGCATAAATTAACACACACCACCATTAACCTTTCGTGCCATCGACAGTATTTTACGCAAAGATATGCTTTCGAATACTCTTTACATTCGAAAATACTCTTACATTCGTTTTTGCATACTTATGCGAATGCTTCTCTTCTAGTTGAAAATCTTTCTTTTTTTCCATGTATATTGCCATTTGTATACGTCACCTTCACTATTTTTGAATGCTAAACTCTCGCAAATAATCTCTACCTTTGTCTCAAGGCCACCAGCTGCCAAGCGGTAAAAATCGCTGAAAATTGGTAGTTCGGTCCGAGGATCGAAGTCCAGCAAAAGGGCTGCCTGCATGAACACTTTCGTAGTTTTTCCCACGTGTAATGTACACACAAGCCAATTTCCCTTAAAAAGTCTTCTACGAAGGCATCCCTCCTCTTAGGCAAATATCCCTAGTGTGCTTTGCCGTAATCTAATAAACCAAACCTAACCTTTGTCTCATACTTTAACTAAGATACTCACATAAATGGCTTTTGTGATAGAGAGTTAGACAACTGCTGCTTTTAACGGAGGTAATCAACATTGCTTTGTATTCAAATGGACATCAACCAACTGTCCATTATGCTCAAATACTTTCCCTTTCATTGAAGCCCAGATACTAGCCAATCAGAAAAACTTCTTCACTGAGAGTTTTTATCAAACGGTAAAAAACAATTAAATGCGTTTACCTCTACTTCAGTGTAATGCAATTTAGTATCGATTACGTAGATTATTTGTTACGAAATTTTAGAATATTGACGCTGCCCAACCGTATAATGGTTGGCATCGCTGACTGCCGACTGAAGAGCCAGGTTCGAATTCCGGAGAAAACATGGATGTTTCTAAATGTATAGCGTCCATGCGGCATGGGGACACTCTAAATTTGCGGCGAGCCGAAAGTCCTCTCGAGAGGTTGATGGTAGGGGAAGAAGTGTGGAAACCCTCGGACTGGGACCGGTCCCATCAAAATCAGGGCCGGACAGCTAACTGTCACACTGTCACCCGTACTGTCACACGTAAACTGCTCAAGTTGTCTGTTGCCAACAATAGAGCGCTCCCTGCCACAAGGAATTTCGTGGGCTTGGGCTGACTATAGGTCAGACAAGTGAGCATTAGTCAACAACAACAGCAATAAGAATGTTAACGGATATACAAAAAACCGTTCTATATATTCCATCCTATAATAGTATTTAAAAATAATATGCATATTGCTCTTCAAATTAAAAATCTTAAAATGTTACACTAAACGTGCTTCTATGCTCAGAATAAATAAATCTAAAAACAACTGAAATTAAATAAATAACAAAAAATGTTAATCAGCACTTGTAATATCCAGAAATTCGTAAATTTCATCATCTACTAAAAACAAAAATGCTTACCGAATACTTCTCTATTGATCAATGATATGCCAATTTCTTTTAAGAATAAATATTCCTTTTAATTTAGGGTATCCGTTAAATGCTTATCTGAAAAGTAAAATAAATATAAGAAAACAATACAATTTTGAAACGGTTATTAGTTAACGAGTTAACGAGTTATTAACGAGTTAAAGATTCAAGCATCATATACGTGACAGAGAAATTGAATTCATACTGACAGAAATTACACTAACATTTTATAATCGTTAGATCGTTACACTGTTCCGATAAATATCAGAAATTATTTTAAACGTTCAATAGTCTCATTCACTCGGCCATTGATGGATCAAATTTTATTAAATAAATGACAAAAATCATGAAAACAAAACCCAAGTAAAATTTCAGTGTAATAAAGTTGGCTGAATATTATTAATTCTCATTCACATATCATAAAATATAAATACGCCTTAATTAATATAAATTAATCTGTATTGTTCAAAACAGTAACCATTTAAAATATTTTGTACAATTTGGGAGCAAAGGCTCGAGAAAATATTATTTTAACTTCAGAAACAGAATACTAAGAAATGAATTACCATTCTCTTCATTTCAGTTTTTCAGAAACTTTATAGGAAGAAAAATGATTCCTTTTTGTGGCAAAAATTCTTAAATGGTGTTTTTATTCTATTAAATTTTTAAGGTGCTCAGTGGGAAAAAAAATTTAAACGTAATCTAGACTTGATAATAATGACTAAAATTATAATGCAAAAAATAAAACTCAGAAAAAAAATTGTTTTATTAACGCACTAAAAAACAGAAAAAGCTTAAACTGCACATGAAGAGATCACGTTCGCTTCAAATTTAAATATCACTTTATCATTTCAGATATGGAATTATCTTCTAGCTTTCATTTTGTTGTTCAGTATTCCATGAGAGAATAATTACTTTTTCCAACTTATACATTCTTTTGAAGAATGATTGAATGAAATTACATGAAAAATTAGGCTAAATATAAAATTCAATCAATACTAATGCTGTAAGATATTATAATTACACATGATATGAAACAGATTTCTGGAATGGTAAACTTTATAACTGCATATTTCATTAATACAGTATGTTTCTAACATACGATGAATAAATTCATTTCCACGGAGATTAGAACTACGGCTACTATTTATATATCAAAATTGAATTTAATTAACTGAAATGACTGAAATTATACATTTATTACGTCATCCAAACCAGAACTGTTACTATTTTAATAATAAATTAGCAACTAATACAGATACCATTCGAGGTAACTCCTACCGGCAAAAATGTAACTTTTTCATCACTTTCGCAACTTTTTGACTGGTTACTTAGATTTTAGTTATCATTTTGATTTTTATACCCAAACATTTATGTAAATAACTAGCATCAGGATATATTATATTACTAATTAACTTATGTGATATAACCAGGTCTGTGGAGTCGGAGTATGGAGTCGGAATCGGAGTCGAGCAGATTAAGGGGTAAAAGGAGTGGAGCTCTGGAGTCGCTAAAAACAGGTCGACTCCGACTCCAGTTTTTGCTGGAAAGTTTCAATTTTAAATCAAATTAAAATGAATTGAAAAAAAATTAATGGCAAGCTGAGTTATTGTTTTTATTTATGGACTATATACATTAATAAATAGTTTTTTCTATTTTATTGACATATTAATAAATAAATATAAGGGAGGAGGATGGATATGATATTTGCCATTAGTGATTAAACTGATTCATTTAGTTACAAATCTCACTGGTAAATTTAGATAAGCAGCATTAGCAGCAAGAACTCCCAAAATTGATGCCATTCTTAGGATGCCATTCTTAGGAGCAGGAAAAGGAGCAATTATTGATTAAGCAACGCGATAAGGAAGTACATAATTTGATGATAAAGAGGTTGTTAGAATTAAGAACTTTTTTAGAAGATGTAGATAGCCCTAATGTTTTACTATCAGAAAGACTGTGGAATGATCTTGCAGAATTGGAAACTCTTCTTTCTACACCGTATATAGCCACAAAAAAGCTGCAATCTGAAGAACTGACAGGAGGCGAGAATGGAAGAATGTGATGATTGTTCTTTCTGAAATGGAGGGTTTATTGCAAAAGGAATCATTTCTTCAATGAAGGAAAGAGAAATTAGTTTGCTAGACAATGAGATCTTACTGGGTTCAATATATGTAGATCCGAAACACCGAATTTTCGTGGATGACGAACAAATTAAAAAGGCAAAGAAAGTCATCAATGAACCTTAATTAAGAATTAAATTATTCTCAGAACAATTGGAGAATTCGAATCAGGACAGTCAAACTGCAAACATAGCAACTGAGCCTCTATCATCCTCTTCCTGTGATGAATTAGATTCTGAGAAATATTTTTGGATAATATTGAAAACGTTAAGGCAAAGCGAATGAAAATAAAGAACCAAGAGTCTTTAAATATAAAAATGAAAATACGAACAAGATTCCTACACGGCCTTTGAAGCACTAGAGAAATGTGATTGCGCTTGCAAGACACCTCTTTTAGAACTTATAAAAAAATCTATCCTGAAAAGTTAAAAGAAGTAGCCCTATCAGTAATAGCTCTTCCTCCTACTCAAGTTAGTGTGGAAAGTTCTCAGTTCTGAAGTTTATCAAATCCAATCTATGGCCCTCCAACAAAGAAGGTCTTGCCGAAGTTATACTGTTTCTTAGAAATAACTACTGCTAGTTTTTCCATTTCGAAATAAATGCTAATTAATATAAATAATTTTCTATGCCATCAATTTTTTTCTGTAGCATCTGTTACATCTTTTATATTAAAAATAAGCTGTAACCCACGTGTATATGTTTACATATATATATGTATGAGGCAGTCGGAGTCAAGTCGGAGTCAGAGTCGGAGTTTTTAAAATTCCAGGAGTTGGGATCGATCATTTTTTTCTACCGACTCCACAGCCCTGGGTACAACGATCTTTGTCGTATGAACGTAACTCGAATACTTGAAATTACCGGAATCTACTACTTGAAATTATCTTAACTTGAGGCAGAATCAATCTTATATGATGGTTTTATTAATATTATCGTTTCAATTCATTACTCAGAACAGTTATTGAAAAGCGTTATCCGTCGAGAAACTTTCAGGAAATATAAACTTGTAGTTTTTACCCTAGGAATAGAGATCAATTCAGTTTCTTCCTTTTAAATTCGCTTGAAATTATCACAGCAGTGAGGAAAGAGGAGAAGAAAGCAAAAGTACGTGGACATTTTGATATTTCACAATACGAATGACTCACCCATTAAAAAAACAGCTACTCAACGAGTGCAAGCAGTGTTATACAAATTTTGATGTTGAACGGTTTCATCAAGATGATGAAATATTAAAAAGCAAAACTTTCAAAATAAAAAGTAGTCATTCTCACTAACGCTAGGCAGAATATACAACAACAAGTCGTATAAATGTTACAAAATAATACACCATATGTATATCTATTCATTCCTCGTTCTAAATATGTTCAAAAAATAACGAATAAAGGAATTTTTATAAATATTTCTTAGCAAACACTGCATTTACCAGCAAAAAGAGCTTTTGCAATCAAAAACAAAACACAAAACTATACCTTACTGCGTTACCTTAAATTTAAATTGCAATTATGTACAAAAGTCAGTTATAATTATATTGCTAGCCATTAAAACTGCTATACCATGAAAGAAAGAATTATACATCATTGTTTTACCTTCTCGTAATGACAAAGATAAGAAAAGAAAGAATGAAATTCAAAAGTAATGCAACATGCACAACAGTCAGTTGTAACTACACTGTTGGCCATAAAAATTCTATAAATTAAGGAAAGATTTTAGCAGAATAATATTTATTTAACCGAAATATTAAAACGAAAGAATGAAATAATTCAAATTTCAGGTAATTTTGAGGTACGGGACATGCAGAAGACAGCACCTCGAGCATCCACCTCTTGCAAGCTGCTATATGGCTGCAGACGGAATCAAGAAATGTGTGGATGGCAGTTACCGGTATATCAGGTCATGCAGCTTCAATTCTATGCCATAGTTCATCTACGCTCTGGATGACAGATGATGTCGTGCCAGTCTTTGTGCAAACAATAACCAGACGTTTTCATTGTTGAGAGTTCTAGAGAATGCACCAGTAAAGGCAGGAAAAGAACACCTTTTGTGTATTGAGGAAACTTAGGACAGCATGGCCAACACACGGTCTCTCATTGTCCTATAGAAAGGTGATGCAAAAAAGCTACGAGAAAATGGCTGATAAGAGTACCAGCTATAAGGGCTTTAAAGGGTGACACTGGATACACGTACTGTTTGAGATGGAAGAGATACGCAATGCTTCTCCATACCATCAATCCTCACGCTGAGCCAGTATGATAATAAAAAAATGTAAACTTCCAATGCGCATTCGTTTCGGCGCATCCATACCAAAAAGGGCAAATAAAATACAGTATGCAATAGATATTACGCATGCCATTATGATTTTTTATGATTTCAACAACAATAAATGCCGTCATGTCACTGATATGTCCATGTGCATTGTTGAAAGCACTACTAGGCTGCAATGTAAAGGGATACCGAAGAAATGATTGCGTTTCTGACAATCCACATCGCACGTGCGGATACTTGTTGCTCTGTGTTCCACACCCTATTTTTTAACGGATACGATTCCTAACATATTCCAGGTGACACCGTGATGCAGACTGATGTCTGTCTTCTTAGGAAAAGGTGAGTGCAGGCCGTTTAAATCCCACATATATTTACGCATGACGTTCTTGAACGCATCGAATGCTTTGGATATCCACCAAACGTGAGCAGCATTTGCGCGGCACGATAATCTGTAATCTCTGTTGGGTACAGTTCTCTTCCGAATTGAATTCTGAGATGTGCTGCTTTGAGCTCCTTCTCCTCAAACAAAGCACACCACCATCTCAAACACAGAAAACGTATCACGAATAAACGCGATTTCTAAATGAAAACTGGCATTTCAGTCTTTTTATACTACTTTGAGGTGTCATTATTCTTGTATGCAAGGTGCGCGTATTATGAAATGCTTATCATTTGCATATCTCAGCATCTTCT